TTTATCGAATATGATTTATAAATTGGCTTAGGCGTACCCTTCCCCAGACGATTAGACTTTGTTAAAACTTATGTTAAGCTCTATTAAGCTCGAATAAATCCTGATAAAACCTTAAAAACTTTGAGAATTTTTCGAAATTCTTATATCATCAAGCATGATTTGGAATTCTGACGATATAAATATTTCCTATGGAGGCCCATGATATATTTATTAGCTTCCGAAGATATATCATGATAATATGCAAAATCCATTAATAACATAATTGCTATTACTACAAATATAAATATAATAAGAAAATTAGATAATAAGAATAATATAAATTCGTCGCCATCAATAAGATTAATAATTCAATGTATTAATATTATGAAAAAAGATATAGTTAATAATATTTTTTTTAATCAGAAAATAACGAATTAATAATAATCGTATCTTATTATCTATAAAGAACAAGAGAGCAAAGAATATTGATAATATTCATAATTCATATCTATATTTTTATATTTGAGATTGCCAAAAAAAATATCAGATTCAATTTTTCGTAAGATTACCAAAATCTGAAATAAATATATTGATAGGGATCAATTTCTCTCAAATTTCTTAAATTCTTGGCATCTTTAGGGAACACAGGCATTTCAATAATTTTGAAATAATTTGATCTCTGTCGATATTTTCGTAGATAAGAATATTGAAAAAATTACCAGATTCGAATTTCTCCAAGATTCTTGAAGCCTGAAATGCGAAAATATTGATAGCTATCAATTTATCTAAAAATCTTAAAATCTTGTCATCTATGAGAGAATGAGAGATACGGGCGTATAATGATCCAGATATTGAGAATATTGATAAAATTTGATCTCTGAATATTTTCGTATTGCATTTTTTTTGAGAAATTTTAAAAACAATCGATATTTTCATAGATAAGATCGCTAAAGTGCTACGAGATTCTAATTTCTCCAATATTTTTGGAATTTGAAATACGAAAATATTGACAGGGATCAAATTTCATTCCAAATTTCTTAGAATTCTGATATCTGTAGGATTCATATTCGAGATTGCCAGAGTGCTTCTAGGCTCGAATTTCTGCAATATTCTTGAAATCTAAAATACGAAAATATTGATAAGAATCATTTTTTTTCCACAAATTCTCAAAATCTTATATCTATAAAGAATACGAGACTATAATTGCTCAGATTTTGCGAATTCTGGGAGAAATTTGATTTCTTCCGATATTATCATATTTGAGCCTTCAGGAATTTGAGACAAATTTGATTCCTGACGATAAGTCAGCATCCGAGATTAATAAAATATTGCCAGATTCGAATTTCTTCAAAATTTTCGAAAATATTGGGAAAGATCAAATTCTCCGAAAATCTAATTCTGACATCTGTGGGGAACGCTCGATCGTCAGAATTATAGAATTTAGATAAAATTTGATTTTTGTCGATATTTTCATATTTCAAGATTCAAGAATTTAGAAAGAATTGACTCTTGTCGATATTTTCGTATCCGAGATTGCCAAAATACTGACAGATTCGAATTTCTCCAGGGGTCCTGATGCTTGACATACGAACATATTTGCAAAGATCAAATTTCTCTAAAATTTTCAAATCTGATATCTATAAAGAATATATGGAATCATAATTCTCCAGATAATTGAAATTTTGGACAAATTTGATCTCTTTTGATACTTTTGTATTTCAGGCTTCAAGAATTTTGGAGAAATTCGAGCCTGGCTACTTTTTAGCAGGCCCGAATGCTAAATTACCGGAACGAATCAAATTTCAGCAACATTCTTGAAGCCTCAAATACGAGAATATCGTCAGAAATCAAAATTTTCGAAAAATCCAAAAATCTAAAGGATAATTCTCCCGTGATCTCCATAGATTTCAGATTTCTAAGATTTTTGGAGAAATTTGATCTTTGTCAATATTTCCGATTTTTAGTTTTCAAGATTCTTGGAGAAATTCGAGTCTGACAATATTTTAGCAATCTCGGATACGAACCCCTTAGATATTAGAAATTTAAGGCTTTAACGAGAAATTTGATCTTTGCCAATAGTTTCGTATCTCAATTTTCACGAATATTAGAGAAATTAGAGCCTGGTAGCTCTTTTATGACCTTGGCTATGAAAATATCGGCAGATATCAAAATTCTCCAAAATTATTGAAATTTATAAGACAAAAATATTCGATAGGAATTAAATTAATATATTCTCATATATCTTATAAATATCAAGATTTTAATTCAGAATTTCAAAATAATTTGATCTCCATCAATAATTTCTTATTCGAGATTGCTAAAGTACCGCCAGACTCGAATTTCTCTAAAATTCTTGGAATTTAAATTTCTACTTGTTTAGAAGTAATTTAATCTCTATCGATAATTTCATATATCAGACTTCAAGAACCCAAAGAGAATATCTATTAATATTTTCGTTGCCAAAATTGTCCGCTTCCTTAAATCTATTATTTTCAAGGAAAGAAATTCGAGAAGAATATAGAAAGATACCATTGCAAAAAAATATATTACCAATGTGATCGGTCCCCTCTTTCTACGACGTAAGAGAGATTAAAATCTTCTTCCCTAATTCTAGAATAATATGAGTCGAGATTAAATAAGAATCGTGCTTTCGGAGAAAAGACGAAAGAAGAAATCATTTTTAAAAATACGTAAGAAATATATTATCAGAAGACGAAGTTAGTTATTATATTCAAAAGACAATCATATTTATGAATCGTTTTTAAATCAATTCAAACCGGGCCAGATCCCAATATTATTAAGAGAATCGTGCTTTCAGAGAAAAGACGAAAGAAGAAATCATTTTTCAAAATACGTAAGAAATATATTATCAGAAGACGAAGATACAATCATATTTATCAATCGTTTCTAATCAATTCAAACCGGGCCAGATCCCGATATTATTGCCGCAAGCCATGACCCTAACTTTAACGATAAGTCGGAAGCCGATACCACCGATATCGGATTACGCGACACCAAATTAAGAGACTTATCCGGGAACGTGCACATTCTGGCGATCATGCCCATACTATAGCGTCTTTTAAAATACCTATGGTCGACACCTAAACGAGATAGATATAACGAATATCGCTACCCCATACACGTGTAACGACCCATAAACACAGACAAATACAAGTCGATCTTTTCGGAGGCAAGCCTCAAGTTCAGTATCCTCGCACATATAATATTAATAATAACTAACCACTAAGTAACCTCCAAAATAACACGCGCTCAATAATACTACAAAACGTACACATATATACTCCTAATGCTAATCATGCGGCAAGGGCAATCAAGGAAAAAGAAGATCGATAGGGTGAAAGAAACACGCGCGAACTCCCCACGCCTCTTCTCTCTTACGCGCCTTCCCCCCCCATCCCTTAATAATACATAAATAAATAATTGCATAATTTAATTATATCATCAATAAATAGATAAATTATTTAAATAAATCCATAAATAAATATATAAACGAATTACCTATACTGCCCGATTCTAGGCGCAATACATTAGATATAAATCTATATTCTAAATATTCCAGATAAATAATAAAATCAGATGAATCTTATTTTTTTTGAACAAAAATATCGCAGATACTATGACATTAAGAATAAATAGAAATAAAAGAGAATAATAATATGAAGAGAATATAAGTATCTATAAAGATTAATATTATGAAAATTAATCTAGGAATCAATAAATATCATATCAAAGTAAGATGCTGTGCTTTGAGATAAAGCGGCAGCGGTTTCGGAGGCAATTTCTATTTCAGAATCTCGGGACCCTGAAACCACGCAACACTCCCGAAATCACGAGCCCAGATCCCAGATCTGAAGAAGCGAGCTTGGACCCTTGCAGAACAGCCCACACGTCAATACGGGTCGTTCGGGGAAGATGCGTGCCCAGTCACTGCACCAGGAATTGCACCACTGATGCAAAGGGCTTAAGTCACAAACTTAAGTACATTGACCCTACAAGTACCGACTAAAGTAGTACCTAGTACCTAGAATGCCCAAATGACAATCCGAAACCCTACCACCTTAGCTCCCACTCTGTGACAGCTACAGGCCTGGTTTCGAGACATCGGGTAGAATTCGGTACTTGGAGGGTCTGTCGATTCTACGAGCTGGAGGCCGTAGGGTTCGCAATCTTAGAGGCTCTAAAGTGCTTGCAAACAGGGCGCGCTGCATCGGAAGCAGTTTTGAGGGCAGTGGAGGGCTTCAGAGCTGCTAGAAGGGGAGGTGCTGCACTCCGGAGCTGTTGGGGAGCGACGCGCGCGTACGCGCGCGAGTCTGTTGGCGCGAAGGGGCTGCGGAGCTGTTTGGACGCGCGCTGTCGTGCTGTAGGATCGAAGCCGGGGATCGAGGCCGATCGCCACGCCACGGGTGGAATGACACCGCTACGAGTCAAAAAAGCACCTTTGACCGATGGCGGGCTAGATTCCACAAATGGCGATTTGCAGAGCCGGGAAGCTTGCCGGGGATCGAGGCTTGCCGGAGATGGAAGCTGCTCGGAAGCTCGTTCGGTAAGCTGCTTGGAGGGTCAGCTGGTAAGCTGCTCGTCGGCAGCTCGAAAGTAGCTCGTGAGCTGCTGGTCGGCCTGCAACCCCGAATGCTAGCTGCTAGGTGCAGATCCCAAAGTCCACAAAGACCTCAGCCTCCAACATGACGGCCGTGAGATTTCGAGGCTTCTGAATTCTCAACCCCGAACCCCCTATCCCCTCAAACCCTGAATGTTGCAGGCTAGAAGGGCTTCCGAACTCCGATAACTTTTTCGCGGCTCAAGACGGCCCTTGGACTTCAGGGTATGGCGACTCCCTGGTCCATATCACTGAGAGTATTTACTCAGATGAGACTTCGGAAGCACCGAGAGCATGGGCTGGAGACAGTGAGCGGCAGAGAAAGGGAAGCAAAGCTTTCCCGATTCGAGTTCATTTAGACTAAGTTGTGCATTGAGAACTATATCTGACTCTAGAACTTATCTCAGTCGCTGCTGCTCTCGGCTTCCGCGCTGAACCAGGCATCACAGATCTCCTTTGCAACCCGCTTCGGCTCCGACATGTTTTTGTCGAAGATCCGAAACAAGTCGGTCCGTAATACCAAGACATTTTGTGCCTTGCCATCCTCATCTGCGGGGCAGGGTGGAAACTCATCGCAAAGCTGGATCGGCAGAATGGCGAGCCCTTGCTGGTGCGCATACTGGAGCTCTATATAGGTCTCATACCCTATGCCAGTTTTCTCGCCGTAATCCCTGGTGCAGAAAGGCAGCAGGGCTTTGGCCTTGTTCAAGAGCCGCGCTGTTTGGTCTCCAAATGTGCCACCAAAAAAGTCGGCCTTCACCATATCAACGGGAATAGACCACTCCCGAAGTGATTCCTTGACTTCCCTCATGTAGTTCATCTTATCTTGGTCGTTGAACCGTCCGGAGATCATCATGTTTGTCCGTTGTGAAGATTGAGTTGCGACTGGTGGTGGGGGAGGCAGTGGAGGTGGCGGAGGCGGTGGCGGAGGTGGCGGCGGAGGTGGCGGCACCACCTTCGAAAGCGATAGCGACTATGAGCCTGTCTAGTGAACCATGTGAGTTGTAGCCCGTAAGTTAACGTGAGCCGACCGTGGCCGTGCCAGGACTTTTCTCGACCATTTCGAAGGCGAAAAGGAAGCCAACATGGTGACCCTTACATACCAAAAACATGAGGTTGTGACCCCATACCTTGTGCATGTAATAGCAAACGGACCATGCTTTAAGATCCCTGAAACCGGGAAAACAAAGCCTGCAGAAGTAGCTCGGCGTCCTGGCCGCTGTCGGCATGAGCCTCAATGGAAAACGCTGCCCACAAATCCGGGATTTGGGGTTCGAGGTTTAGGAATCTGGAGCTTTTGGTTTCAGGATCTCAAGCTTTGCGGTGACTTTATGGTGTATAGGGGTCCAGATTTCGGCTTACTTGTATCTGTGAATCGAACAGTGTGGGCTTCTTCGGGGCCAGCAGGCCAGGCCAGTGCTTACAGAAGCCGGAATCGTCAAAATCCACCGTAAACATACTGCCTGCCTTACAAGGCTTTGTAGTTTTTCGTACGGGATATGTAGACTTTTTGCGTAGACGTCTAGAGCGCAAAGGCCCCTATACATCCGAAAAATGGAACCCTAAAAAAACAAAAACAAAGTCCAAAGCCCCGAAAACCCAAACCTCAAACCCAGCAAACTCGAAAATCCCTTTCAAGGAACCCTTGAACCCCTAAAGCTGCCCCGCGGCGCGCTGTAAGAGCTCCGACATGGGCAGACGGCCGGCTTCGAGCTCACCTGTAATGGTTGCGTGAAGGGATACGGGTACTTTTAAGGGTTTCTTGCAAGAATTGCGTAGGGTATAGAGGGGGTTAAGGGTTAAGGGTTTAATTCGGGAGGATTTGGGGCTCCAATAGCTAAGGCTGGGGTTTTTGCTTGGAGATCCGCAGTGAACTCCGAGGGTTTTGCCAGCAAGGTAAAGCCTAGCGGGTCTTTGGGGCTCTCTCTCTTTCGCCAGGGCTGTCGACGAGGAGGTCCTGCCACCCCGCTCTCCGATGCAAGGAGGCAAGCCCCCGAGCAAAGGCGCGGCACTTGAGCCAAAATGGCTTCTCTCTCTCTTTCTCTCTCTCTACAGGGACTGGAGGAAACAGCGGTCCAGCTGAATCCTCCGCGCGCGAGCGCGCACCCGCGGTCCGCAGGGTGTCTGACTCTCCCCCGGTGGATGTTTCCACAGGGGGCTCGGCTATACATGGAGTATGAAAAAAGTCCCCCGAGGTTCGTTCCCAGGCAAAGGGTGCACTACTAGCAAACAGCCACTAAGTAAGGTCCCGGCCGAAGCTCCTCCAAAAGCTGGAAAACCAGCTAAGAAGCTTGCATCCCCCTGCCTGTATCCCCTCTAGTTTGCAAGCAGGGCAGAAGGAAAAACGTGCATTGTTCCCCCATTGGGTTTCCGTTGTATGTACGTAGTCGAATTGCGCCTTCTTGTCCCCCGAATTGGAAAATCACTGAAATTACCTGGTTGGTGCGTTGAAAAGAGCCTAGGATTAGGAAGCCAAGACGGGCTTCGAGGAATGAGTTTACCCGAGAAGGACTAGGACAGGTTTTGCATGCCCTTAGCCCGTTTAAAGAGTTCGCACCACAGGCTCAGCGAAACACCGTGACTTGTTTCGAAAAGGTACATTATCCCCTACTGCAGGTATGGGTTTTCCGAGGTTCCGCACTCAGTGAAGCAACAAAGGAAACAAAGAAACATGCAGCAACTAGTATGTGCAGATCCCCCGGTTTGCATGGAGCTACCTTGGGCACAGACGAAAGTTCATGTGGGCTTGAAACCAAAACAGATTGCACAAAAAACATCCCCCACATGAAACGCACTCGCTCACCCCTCCGACTTTTCACGCGTCTCACACACTGCTGGTCGTTCTTCACTGCATGCTGGCCGCATATGTCGTTGTACCTGTTGCACCGCCTCCCACATAGGTCCGGGCTGCAAGGTAACTTTGCATCCCCCTCGTCGTCGCGGGCTGCGGCTTGGCGTACGGGGTCTTTGTGCTCCCCCACTGGAGCTTGCTCCGTCTGAATGTCGCCCTCGTTCTCCCCAAGGCCAGTTTGCATGGAGGGGTGTCACAGGTGGCGACGTGCCATCACTGTCACTGTCCCCCCCAGCAGCTTCGGCGTGTGGTGCGGGTTGAGGTTCGGTGTCATCGCCTTCACTCCCCCAATCCACTTCCTCATGGATCAGAGGTTCTGCTGTGGCATCGTCTTGCTGTGGGTTTTCCTCCACCATCTCCCCCACATTGGGAGCACTGAGCTGGTTCTTCTTGGCTTTTTTGTCCTTCTTGTCCTTCTTTTCTTTTTTCTCCCCCGTCTTCTTCTTCGCGTCCTTCTTGGTCTTGTCCTTCCGGTGGCGCAGCTCGGCAGTCTGGGTGGAAGTAGTCGCTCCCCCATGCCGCTGCTTATCCACCGGTTGTTTGTAGACTTTCTTCCCCTCAGCCAGTAGACGTCGGACTTCCCCCGGGAACCTGCCAATATATATTCGGAGTTCCTCCTCAACTGCTGGGTTGTGTGTGGCTACCAGCTTCACAAGTTCATCCGCTTGGTTCCCCGTCTGTCTTCTCTCGTTGTGCCTCTGCACGTATCGCTGGAAGTCCTCGCTGTCCTCTGCAGAAAGCACGTCCCCCGTGCTAGTCTCCACATGGCGTTGGCCTCGGCTATCCCATCTGTAGCTCTTGCCAATCCATTTGTCAAGTGGGCTCGGGTCGTAGAGAAGTGCCATCCCCTCCTTTGTCTCAAACCTGACATATTCTGGAAGGGGGCGGGATGCATCACGGCTGGCTTTGCTCTCCCCCTCGTCGTTTCCACAGTCTGAGGCTCGAGCC